TCATTTCGTCTGATGAAAGATTCATGTACGCAACGAAGGCCCAACCCGTATTCGCCCGAAGCGAAGGAGGCTTTCTCGTGGACTGCCTTAGCCTTAACGTCGTATTAAAAATAAACGGCTGCAGTAGAAGGATCAGCCGTCGTCTTCTGTTGGATTTGACCTTTGAATCTCATTCATCTGAAATAAAACTCTCAATAATAATATTATTTAAGGAAATTCATCAAAATCCGCTTTTACCTCGTATTTTCATTTCTGCTAAGACTTAATTTCTGCATCGCAGTTGATGACCTGCTGGCGAGTCTGAAAAGCGTGCCGGATTTAACAATTTGTTGTTCTATTTGCAGAATCAGCCTTGCAGTTTGCCTTATGAGTTAAAAATTATGTGGAAAACTTTCTTAGGCTCACCTATTTGTTATCTTTAAACAAAGCTTTATTCATAAATTGGTTAATTTGTATTGACTAGACTATCGTTTATTTACCGGTCCTCCTATCCTGCCAGTGAGGTCTTTGAATTTGTCTGCCACAGAAACCTGACAGGCTAAATAATGGATCTCTCTTTTAGTGGTTTACTAGTTTATTTTTAACAAATTCATGTTTATATAAAGCGTTCGTATCGGATAGGACAAAAATGGAGATTGTTTATAATATAATAATTTTGCAATAACGGATTTTAGTAGTCCAAAATGACGTACCCAAGCACGGATTCGAACCCTGGACCCTCAGATTAAAAGTCTGATGCTCCGTCGACTGAGTTTTTCGGGTTGCTTTGGGTTACTTAAAATGTCTATTAATGGAAATTAATATGGATTATTATCATAGAAATTATAGGAGGGTTTTGGTTCATGTGTGTTCAGCCTGGTCATCAATAATATATATTTTTGACAACAACTAGTTGCTAAACCTTCGGCACTATCTTATCTATATTGCTGGATCATTAAAACCATTTACCATGACAACTTCCTCAAGAAGATGCGTCAGCACATTACATAGCATGTATTAATTTCAACCTAACCTCAGCGCAAGTTATGCCAAAGGCATAGCAACAGGCTTTATGGAGATATTCCATTTTCGACGGGTTTTTTACTTTCTCCGATAGTGAAACTTCCTACTATGAATATAAAGAAGGCTTGATTTTTACCCTGAACCTCAACTCGCTTGCGCATTCCTGAATCTCATAGTTTTAATCGAAGCTATGAAGACCAAGATGGTGTGGCCCCCGGTATGGTCGCAGTCTTCTTTCGATGTATGGAAGTGAGTTGACCTCGTTTTCACAACTTGGTCTTGTTGTCAGGATGACATAATTGAACGCACCTTGTCCAAGTCCTCTGTCATAGTAGTTATCATAATTCCCAGCATCATACAGTGGACTTTGTGCATTGACAGACGTTTTTGCCGGCATCGTAGTCAGCATCATCAGTGATTTTCGCCATTACTAACTCTTTAAAGAAACCCACACACTCAGTAGGTTTAGTTGATTAGTTTAAGTACCTGCTCCAATGGTGCAGCTTGGTTCGAGTACAGCGACAGCTGGAAAATTCGTAATTCCTGGTTCGATGAGAAAGCCTATGCCCAGCGGTAGTTATTCGGACAGCGGATGACAATCTAAAGCAGTCACCATGGCCTCGAAACTTGGACTATCACTTGTAGAAAAGCTCACAGTCGCTTGGCGAGCTTCATAACCCTGGAAAATGTAATTTATTGGTGATTTCAGGCAGAAGACTCACATTGTTTGGGGAACTTTACTTTCGTATGAAAGAAGATTCACATGATAGGGACACTGATTTGATCGGTTCTGATACAGATACGTATCATTGCATACTGCGAATGTGTATGCGTGTGAAAAGGAGCCTCTTTCGTTTTATTTACCCCAACTCCCAGTCGTTCAATGACTTAAAGGTCTACTGCCGCGCTTATCGGTTGCTTTTTTCACTGGCACGTACGTGTTTCTAAGGCCCTGGGTTCAGATGGTAATCTACCTTGACGCCACTTAATGTCCTTTTATCCTCGTCCAAACCAATGTCTCTTCAAGCTCACTTTGGGTCCAGCTCACCCTCTGGTTGGGCGGGTCGCCTTTTATCTTGCGCCCCCTTATCAAACATCTGACTTTTGTTTCTAGTCTCCCAGTTCGCGGCATTCAGTCCTCGTTCCTAGGCGAACAGACAAGCGGATGGAATCAAAACAGATGACATTTTCTCCTTCCCCTTACACTCCTCCTCCCATCCCCCTCTTCAATCTTGCCTCATTATTCATCCTATTCTCCTTACCTTCCCTAACCGGTGTGGATTGGAGCCGAGACAAATTGAGCACATGTCTACATGTCACGTCACACCAACAAGCTACAAGTGGAAGTTGTTGCGGCCGCCGTCTTCCCGGATATCTACAACATCCTCGGCTTGTTGCCTGGGCGAGTTGATGCAAGGCTGGCAGCCTCATGTCGTCTGTTCAGGGGTCAGCCGATGATGGACGGGTCGGCGAAAGTTACCAAAGTGTCAGGGTTGTTTCAGTCTCCCCTTAGAGACATGACTTTGAGCAAAGTTCAGCGACAGACACGACGACACGCTAGCCAGAAGGCCCATTGTTCCACGAGGCCCTTGAGTCTGCTCGTCTCCTCGCCGTGTAGCCGTCAGGGGGGGGAGAGGGAGGGAAGAGGGGGCAAGACGGGCCGAGGTTGCCAAGGCCGCAGCAAGCTTGTAGAATCTGTCTATTGTAGCATCAGCTGCCGGTGCGCCAGAGTTACCCAGCGCCAGCTCCTTTCTGCCCCCATTTGCACTGTCTGCTGGCAGGTAGGCGGCTTATCAGCAGCGCTGATCGGATGGTTGTACCATGAAGTGAACAAGCCCAGATCTCTTTACCATTGGCCGGGGCGGTGATCCGGTTGAAAGATGATTTTACGCCAATTTTGTTGTCATGCCTGTTGTCAAATGGACCTCAGAAATCGGTGAATAGAAGAGCAAATTGGTGGGTGAGCTTGGTTGTGTGGATCTTTCTGAAATGCGACGACTTGTCAACGCATCAGACGACATTCGTGGGGTAAATGCGCGAATATGTTTTCAATATTATCATCTGTTTTAGAATAATTCTTCAATTAATCATTTAATTCGAATCCGTTTTTTCCTGTGTTAAGGGTAAGTCTATCTTTCCCATTTTCTTGTGGAATCCTCTAAAGGCTCAAAACGAAGAATCAGCCATCGTCCTCTTCGAATATCCTCACTAAACACTTTCACTCGAAATGTAATCAGCTAAACAATTATTAATAAATCGAAGTTATGAAGACCAAAATGGTGTGGTCTTTTGTGTGGTCGCAGTCTCCTTTCGTTGTATATAATTTGTTTGACCTTGTTTTCGTAACTTGGTCATATTGGCAGGAAGACTTAGAGGAACGCACCTAGTCCGGAGTCCATTGTATGCATCATCATTTCCAGAGTAGGACTGTGGACTTGGTACTTTCCCAGACGTTTCGCCGGCATCGTCAGTGATTTTCGCCATTCGTAGCACCATATTACAACTCGTCAAAGAGACAAGTGAAGCCCATCATTTGACCAAACGTGT